ATGGTTTAAGGGTAGGATGTGACCATAAATAGATATTTGACTATAAAAATCAAAAGGTAACTATAGAATATAATTTTTTAAAAGAGTATTTATTTAAAATAAATAAGGTATCAATCTTTGCTACAGGAGGTAAAAATTCCAAATTACAACCGCTCTGATTTTAAAGGGGTAAGGACTGCTATTTAAGAAAGTTGAAATTTACAATGCATTTAATGTTTAGCCACTTTAGAATCTAAATGCAAAATTACGGGTTTGGATTTTCAACTTCAATTCGTGACTGAAGTTGGGAACTAGCCAAGCCTAAAAATTCGGATAATTTCGGAGGTTCAGAGTGAAGTTGAATTTTTAAGTTTAAAATTTGTACTTCAGCAATTCGATTTGCATCAAAACGAGTAGTTCAATTGCTTATCCACCTTATAACTCACCCATATCTTTTCTTCAAACATGAGATTTAAGCAATCATAATCCAAAAAAAGAGAGAGAGAAGAAAGTAAAACCAAATTACATATTTATCTAAAGCACCATCTTCGTAAAGCAGCAGTGTTTGTTTGAAGTTGCCATCTTCAGGCTAAAACTTAAATATTTTTAAAAAATTGGCCAAATTTTAAATAGCACATGGCTATATTGATTTAGCATTTTGAAGGTCCTTCCCATGATTGGTTAGGATGAATTGAACCAATAGAATTCATTTTCAGATGTCACTATATGGTATGGTTTAGCCTAATTTGAGAATTATTTTGTGCCATTGCTATCAATCCGTTAATCCAAAAATTAAAAGAACTACTTTGATTAACTGGTCTAATTCTCTGTTTATTTTTTAGCAAGTATATATAAATCTATATATATATATATATATATAATAAAGCTGGAAATAATAGTGATGATTTGGCACTTCTCTTAGGCTAAGAAATCTATTTATCTTTTTTCTCCTTTTTTTACTTTTTTATTTTTCATATTCAATTGTTTAGGCCTCTTCAATGTCTTAGTTCCATGTTCTAGCAACCTCTTCAATTGTATTTGTTTCTTTTCATTATATTTTAGATTTTATTTTGTGATTGCGCTTCAGTCCTCAATCACGTCATCGATACATAAGCTGATTTACAATTTAATAGGTATCTGAAAAACCTATCTTTTTCAGATTTAAAATTGGACATGTTTAATAGATATGTGAACTTTTCTTTTTCAAAACCAAACAGGCTGCTGATGTCTCATTGGATAACTTGGAAGACTCTGATGAAGATCAACATGTCAATGATGGTGTAAAGAATAGAAAGAGAAGAAACATAATCATAGATGACGATGAATTTACCGATGGAGACACCAATATTTGCAAATAGAAGAGTCTTTAGCATTGCTTCTAGCATATTGTGTTAGCTTAAATAAAAGTGTTTGGACTTCTTTTACTTTTCTGTTTAGTGTCAACAGTAGATATGCATTAATGAATTTATCTGTTATTGTCATTTAACTTTTATTAGAAGTGATGATATCACACTTATATGGTTTACCTTTCAATTAATCCTATTTGGTTAGCCATGTATAGAGTGTGGTTGTTTGTAATTCTGCGAAGAATCCTATTAAAGTTGTTCTTGAATCGACTATCAAATTCATTTTTTCAAGGGATAATAAATTCTCCCAAACTTTAAAAAATAAATAATAATATAGACGTTCGCTCTGACTGTCCGTCCGTCTGTGGGTGAAATGCTATGCTCAACTCTACCCGAGTACCCAACTCATGTTGTACGATCCTCTAGAACCGTGATGTGAACTGAGTACCTCTATATGAAATGATGGAAACTGAAATACCATTGAGGGTTTCTCTCATTTTAATACAATACGTCATACAATATATATAAATGATACAATAATTACATACGATTATATATATACACACACTCCCTCCATTCGCTTTTAGTTATCCACTTTGGACTTTCACGCCCTTTAAGAAATAATAAATAAAACATATATATTTTACAATTTTACCCAATAACGATAGCATTTTCAAAAGTCATGGGGAATGAATAGTTAATGATAAGGGTAATACATGAAAAAATGATTGTCTTTCTCTTGATTTAATATAGTGGATAAGTAAAAGTAAAAATATATTTCTAGTATAATGGACAACTAAAAGTGAACGGAGGGAGTATATATATATTCGTCGGCTATTTTAAATTTAAGCGTTTGGATAAACGGTTATTTAAGTTAATTCTTCGAAAACACTAAACTGACTTCTGGTGGTAGTGTCATTTATTCTAATTTATCTACCTATATTCTATATTGATACAGTTGTTAGTGCAAAGAATTTTTTTACACGGTACCTACGGTAAATTTCTATCACCTAAAGAATATCCACGGTAAATTCCCTTAAAAAAAGAGATTTCTAACTTTGAAAATAAAATTAGTTATCTGTTACATTTGATATTAGTAAAGATGATCTGACGGTGTAAAAATTATAATGTATTAAAACTTTTTTTCCTTGTTCATATTGAGGTGGGTGTTCGGGTAATTCGGATTGCATATGAAAAATTCGGTTTGGATTTTCGATTTTCGGATTGAAAAAATGACAATCCAAATATGTTCGGATTGGATCAGATTTTTTAAGTTCGGTTTCGGATTAAACGGTTTGGATATTTCGAATTTTTGGTTTGAGCTTGTAAGTTGCAAAGTTTCTTCATTTTACAAAAATAAATATCCAAATGAGTACTCATGTTAAATTGCCTGAAAAGTTACTCATTCTCGCCACAATTATCCAAATGAAGCACTCAAGTAATGCAATTATTATCAAAAAGATACAATCACTACAAAAAGATGGGTAAATTGCGGAGGTTTATTTGCGGAGGGTATAAGTAACCTCCGCAATTTGCATAATTTTGCGGCAGAACATTAGCCCCCACAAAATTATACAATTTACGGAGGTCAAAAACATCCGCAACCCTAAAAATAATAGCGGGTATTTAATTTAACACTCCCTCCAATTTTTCCCCCTAGAAATTTCCGCCTCACACTCTTAATTGGCCAAATACGCCAAAAACTCCATTTTTCCCCCAAACAAAATAATCCTTTCCTTCTTCTTCTTAATCGAAGTTCCGTCACCGTGCTAATTAGTCGAAGTCCTCTGCTCAATAGTTTTATACCTCCATTAATCGAAGTTCTCTGCTTCTTTTTCGAAGTTCCGCTTCAATTAAAGGTCTGTTTCAATCGAAGTTCTCCGCTTCAATCGCCACCACTTTTACACCTCCCAGGTTTGATTTTTCTCTTTCTTTCCTTATTTTCTCTCATGAGTTTTTTGTTAATTTTGAATTTTTGTGTATATTTTGGTCGATCTGTGTGATTAAATAGTGTTTGATATTGAATTTTTGTGTGTATTAAATGGTCGATCTGTATGATTTTTTGTGTGTTTTTTCCTTGATTCTAATTTATACGTGAAATATCAGTTGTATATGAAGGCATCCAATCTTTTGTAGATTAGGAGTACTATTTGAGCAGTATCTTCTTGGAAAAATTAAATGAATAGACGTTTGAGTTGCTTTTTATAGATTGAAAAGTTGAAGCTTTTTTTTTTCCCTCTTAACAGTAGATGCAGTTAAACAGAAATCCAATACTTTCTGCTGCCTTGTATATATACTGATCAGTGGAGTTGAGTCTCCACCAAATGTGTGGAGATCAATCTAGTCTCACATTATTTTCTTTCATATAATAATGAGTTAAGAGTCTATAACCAATATGTGTCAAAACCAAAAATACCCAAATTCTTATTCTCATGTCCTCACAGTTGGTTTTGCCAACTAAAATTGTTTAGAGTTTAGTTTCACCAATCTAAACCATTGGTTACAAAAGTGAGTTTACAAGAGTTTTAATAATGGAAAACAAACTAGTGTACTGAAAGCATAAATACTTACTAAAACATATATAGATTAATAAAATACGTAATCCCTATGCTGCAAGTATAGCCTGATAAAGAAATGCTCACCCATTTGTGCTTTTGGTAGTTCTCCATTACCCATTACCACTGCCCGTCTTCTTTGACTCAATATGAATTATTCTCTTTTTTTTCTCTGTTGTGATAATCTTGTTTTACAATATAGCTTTTTTGTTTATTCTATTTTCTTTATATCAGATTTTTCTATTTAGAAAAATAAGAGAGCAACGATATGAAATTTGAAAATGTATGAAAAAATGTGAGTTCTCATTTAGGAATATCTATTTTGTAGTCTAGGATGGTTCTAATTATACTGATTAATACTCTTTCTGAAATCAGGCTTTTTGTGTGCATACTTAAAGAAAAAGGTAAAAGTAGAATATATTTAACTGGAAACCGAAGAACTTAGGATAAGTTAGTGGAGACAATAGTAAGTGCATATTAGCTGATTTAGAAAAGTTAAATTTAAGAAAATCATCCAATGTAAAAGAATAACAATTACTACTGCGCCTCAATCCCAATTGGCTATGTATCCTTACTGTGAATGTTGCTCCATTTAAGATCACCTCAATCCAAAATAAAAAAAAGTTTCTTTGATTTTGAGAAATCACTTTATGAAATTTGTTTTTCACTTTTAAAGAATTNNAGTATAAAGTGTCCTTGCCTAAAGTGTGGATTAGCAAAGTGGCAGACAGAGAGGTAGCACTCGAACATTTGATTTGCAAACCATTACCCTCAAAATTATGTCACTTGGACTATTCACGGTGAAAGAAATATACTGCCTAATTCTGTAAATAATGTGGTTATACAAGATACATTACCTCTTGAAAATCCAGTTGAATTATTGATTAATGAAGCATTTGGGGGCCTAAGGCACGATGGGGTTGATGTAGGTCCGTCACAAGTAGCGGGTGGTGAAGAAAGGTTAAATGATGAGCCTGCTTCAAATGATAAAGACTTTTTTGAGTTGCTTAGAGATGGAAGTCAAGAATTGTTTGAAGGGTCCAAGTACTCAAAACTAGAATTTTTATTAAAATTGTATCACATAAAATATTTTTCTGGGCTAAGTGACAAGGGAATGACCATGATACTAGATTTGTTGAGGGATGCATTTACATTTGCACGGATCCCTCATTCTTTTTATGAGGCCAAGAAAACTATCAGCAAGCTTTGTCTTGATTATATCAAGATAGATGCTTGTCCAAATGATTGTATGTTATTTTGGGGGAATGATGCTAATGAGGAAACATGTAAGTATTGTCACACTTCTAGGTGGAAGCCTGATAAGAGAAGAAATGAAGATCTTGTGTCTGCCACAGGTAAGAAGAAAACCAAGAAGAAAACTAAGAAGCCCGCAAAGATTTTGCGTTACTTTCCATTAAAACCAAGGTTGCAGAGATTGTTCATGTGCTCTAAAATAGCAAAATATATGAGATGGCATGCTGAAGATAGTAACAAAGATGGAATCATGAGGCATCCTAGAGATGGTGAGGCATGGAAGAGGTTTGATACAACTTTTCCTGAATTTGCCGTTGATCCCCGGAATGTTCGGCTTGGCCTAGCTAGTGATGGATTCAATCCTTTTGGCACGATGAGTACTAATTATAGCATTTGGCCAGTCATTTTAGTTCCATACAACCTTCCTCCTTGGTTGTGTATGAAACAATCTAATTTTATTCTCTCAATGATCATTCCTGGTCCACGTACGGCGGGAAACAACATAGATGTTTTCCTACAACCCCTTATTAAGGAGTTGAATGAGTTGTGGAGTGAAGGTGTCGAAACTTTTGATTCATCAAAGAAAGATATGTTTAGGTTGCGAGCTGCTCTTATGTGGACAATTAGTGACTTTCCTGGACTCGATATCTTATCTGGTTGGAACTCACATACTGGTTTAGCATGTCCCACTTGTAATTTTGATGCAGAACCTTGTCGGCTTAGCCATAGTAGAAAGTGGTGCTTTATTGGTCATCGTAGATTTTTAGCAAGAAATCATAAATTTAGACTGATGAGACATCGCTTTGATGGAAATGTGGAAGAAAGAAACCCACCCAGAAAGTTATCCGGATCTGATATTTTGCAACAAGTGAAAGATATTGATGTTAAATTTGGAAAACCGGCCGAGTTGAGTGAGAGAAGAAAAAGAGCTAGACAAAGAAATATTGGGCAAGGTGCAGCACAACAATGGAGGAAAAAAAACATATTCTTTAATCTTCCATATTGGGAGTTCAACTCATTGCGCCATAATTTAGACGTCATGCACATCAAAAAGAAAGTGTTTGACAATATTATATATTCTTTGCTCAATGATAAAGACAAGTCAAAAGATAATATTAAGGCGCGGAAAGATCTGCAAGATATGGGTATAAGGCGTGATCTTTGGCCCGATGAGAATGATGAGTGTCGGCTTGCTGTGTTTACCATTCCAAAGGAAAAGAAAGTGGCTTTCCTCACAACTTTAAAGAATATTTTAGTGCCGGATGGTTACTCGAGTAATATTTCTGGTTGCATTGATCCGGACCAAAGGAGAATCTTTGGATTAAAGAGTCATGATTGTCACATTATTATGGAGCAATTGCTACCAATAGCAATTCGTAATGTGCTGCCAAAGGAGGTTGTTACAGTCTTAGTAGAGCTTTCCTCTTTTTTCAGAGAACTTTGTCTTAAAAGTTTGAGTTTGGCGGATCTAGAAAAGCTACAAGATCGCATTGTGCTCACACTTTGCCACATGGAGATATTATTCCCACCATCGTTCTTTACTGTAATGGTCCATTTAACTGTCCATCTAGTAGATGAAGCAATACAAGGTGGTCCGGTACATTACAGGTGGATGTATTTTGTTGAAAGGTAAAACATTTCTTATCCGAAATTTTGATGTATGTAATATTAATTCAAGTTAAGTGCTTATTCTAAACATGTTTCATTTTATGTTATAGATTGTTAGGTCATTTTAAGTCCCTCGTAGGGAATAAGGCTCAACCAGAAGGTTCCATAGCTGAAGGTTACATTGTTGAAGAAGCTCTAACTTTTTGTTCTCGTTACTTTGAGGGGATTGAGTCAAGGCTTAATAGGCCTAGACGTGTGAATGATAAACCAAATCTTAATGAGGCTTCTGAAATGTCCTCTATCTTCCCTCCGCAAGGTAAACCAGTTGGAGGCTCCTCAACGTTCCCCTTGACTCCATTGGTGAAGACGCAAACTCATCGATATGTGTTATTTAATTGTGCGGCAGTGAAGCCATTTATTGAGTAAGTAAATAAAATTGATATGAATATTGGCAAAAGTTTAGAATTAAAATAATTAAAATTGATATAGTTAGCTTATATGAAGTGAGTTTAGGGATTACATAAGAAAGAACACAAGAGGACGGAGACCTTCAGCATCAGATTTGGAGAGGAGGGTTAATAGAGAATTTCCTGATTGGTTCCCAAAACGGGTGAGTGAATGGTATAATAATTTTTGCTTCACATAGCTTTTCTCATTGGATTTAATATGCTTGACTAAAATAAGTTTGTT